GAGTAACATGTAAAATATCAGGTTTAAATGACAGGGGTGCCATGAAAAAATGCGATGACGCATAACATCTCATTGCCCAGAAAGTCGTAGGCTTTTGTTGAGAGAAGGTGGCTTAAGTGGATGAAAGTGGTTAATTATTGACATTTAGATGTTGTGGGCAGATGTTAACATCAGCAATATCAAAAGTGAGTTTTAAAATTCTGCAATGAGGCGACCGTGGGTTATCTAAATACATATCTGTAGGCTATCAAGTGTTTTCACGACTCCCGCAAATATAAAACACCAGTAAATATACATCAATATATGATTTTGTAAATATATATAGAAGTTGCTTCTACATAAATTATATTCAAGCAGAGTAATGTCTCAAGTAAAGAGTATAAGCTTAAAGTTATCTGTTTGAGACTGGTTAGTCATTTAACGTAGAATGGCATGAGGGACCTTTGGGAACTCGAGAGCTTACAGGGCAGCCCGGTCAAATTGCCATTAACAAGAACACTCTGGGTTTGATAACTTCAATCGGATGAAAAGCAATTTGGCCATGACCCAGAAACACCCACATTAGCTTTGGTAATTACTGAGTCATCAGGGCCTTTATCAAATGCATTCTTTGGCTAAAAAAAACCCGTCATTACCAGTGTGAATTGTTTTGTAGGGATTCTGAGAACTGGATATCTGTGAATTTTCAAAATCAAACTATTTGTACGAGAAAAAAATAGAATCTGAAAAGTTCGTGGAATTTTCTCAAGAAAAGAACAATACATAGAACAATTGCCTAAAGCGTGAAGCTACTACACAAACTGTTTTCTATTATACAGTTGGGTTAATTCTGATGTTGGTGAATTATTTGCAGTTGTTTTTTTTTGGTGAATTCTAAAGCGAAGAACTACCTAAAGATATGCAGGCAGGAGTTACTGCAGCACGCTTATACGTTGCAACAGACACTCCATCAATATGAAAGCAGCTTCAGTCATGCTGAGATCACAGAAGGCTCTACTGGCAGGAGCATTATATGTCTGATTAGAAATAAGTGGGGTGGTAGGATTTTGAAATTCAATGATGAGCTGTTAGGGGTATTGAAACAGGATTAAGAACAATCATTGAAAAGTGTACCAATGTGAGGCAGAAAATCAACAGATTACTGCAGCTCGTTACGTGCGAGATGATTTAGAAAGTTGGAAACAGAAAGTAGACTCTCTTGGAATGTATGCTTTGTGTGGTAGCACCAGAGTCGTAAAATTGTAACGTGTTCAATTTAAATTTACAGCATGTTACAATGATGCGCGTATGTCTGGCACATTAAGAGAGTGTTTTAGATATTTCAAGATAATTTATGGAAGTAATTTAGAATCACAGTAGATGCCCACTGGGCACATGGAGACAGTTTTCGAAGGCACATTTCTTTCGTCCCAAACACGATCCAAAATGAGAGCTCGTGTTTTTACAATAAGTTGAGGTTTCATCGACTGTTCTGCATTCAAAACAAATCTGTTTGCGAGCACGTCGAATTCTTAACACGTAAATACAACTATGTTTCTGGACAATGATTACAACAACATTTGATTGGCACGGCTGTAAATGGTCATAATAATGTATAATGATGGTGTTGGGATACGGGCACTCTACAATGTAATTACTCGCACAGCATAATAGAGCGTTATTATGGATAAACATAAGGTGTACTTAAAGCTACAAATGCGGTTTTGCAATCAGTAGCATTATGAGGTACTCTTTGGCGCAGCTGATTCCGATAAAGCTAACCACTGGTAAAATTCAAAGCTGACCTTAACCAGTATACTTCTGTGGCATCTCAAATGACATATATTGTAAGCGCTTTAGAGGTAGCGTAAGGTTTCAAAAGCAGTGGTCCCACTCCTCAGCATAAAAAGTTGGCAGCCAACGTGAATGCCAATGGCTGCAACACAGACGTCGCTGGTTATCGCCTCTGGGAATGTCAGCGATGTTGCAAAGAAGGTACGGCCCCAGACGGCATTAAACTCTGTCTCAAAAAGGAGTCTAAGTACCCGGTCACCATTAACCGGCGCCCGAGCTCGCCATTGATAATCCTCGGAAAGGCGGCGGCTGTTGCAAGCGGCTTTGATGGGCAGCTGTCAGACTCATTCATTTTTTTGGGGTTCGCCTGGAGTGTGTCACAAGCACGCTCCGTCATTCCACCCCCGAATGGCAACCAAAAAAAGAATGTACGGACAAATTTAGTCACTTTGTGTTGGTATGCAACTCAAGCAAAAGAAGGGCACGGCTTTTGAAAGTATATTTCCTACCACCGCTGAGACTAAGGAGTGGCTGGTCACATCTGAATGATCGTTTTTAAATGTTGCGATGGGTTTATAATTTACAGATATGATTGAAGGCCATAACCGCATTCAATGATTCGTTAAACGGGATTCACTTTTGTATTTTCATGGGCATTTATTTGTTGGGAATTATATAAAACCGTTAGTTCAATCGTGCGTATGATTTAGGCTGTTCATGTTTGCCAGCACAAACAAACCCTTTAAATCGTATAACTGACTATTATATTTAATCTAGATGATGCACCTTGCCAAATGTGAACACATTGTCATTTACTGAAAAACATCAGGCACCTAATAAAAGAAATTGACATTGCATTCATAATATTCACCTATTTCTTTTTCATATGCTTATTTGTCAACTTGCAGCTAAATAGTTTTATATTGCTTATTGAGGAATAAAGAAAGCTGTTTGCCAACATGTCCATGTATCCCCCCCCCCCCCCATGCATGATTTAACAAATGCCTACCACTGACATTTTTCCCTCTCAGAACATGAGCATACAAACATGTAATTGATATGTCGGTAAGTGATATAGTATTTATATAGTAGGCTCAATAGAAACATTACCATGACACATTCCGCGTTTAGCAGCCTAGCACTTGCCTGTGTTAATTGGGAATTGGTGGCAATTTTTTGTAAGAAAACTGGACTCTCACAGAACCTTTAGTGGGACCGGGAGCAAGATCAAGAGGCAAGGCCCCTTGGAAATTGGTCCTTGGCAAACAGTGAAGCCCCATTAATGGTTTGACCAATGGACTCTTGAAATAAGGAATGCTATGATGAAGGCCCCCACCCTCACGACGATCACGAGTTGACCTTTTTAATGCAACCAAGCATTTCACACAGGCCCTGCAGGTTCCAGATCATGTGGTGCAACCGCATCACTTGCTCCACCTACTGTTAAACTAAGTGCCAGTCATTTGTTAGCAGGGCATTATGGGAATGTTTGGCGCTGCATTTCTGGCTTGAATCCAAGACCAATAGAGTTATTTTTATTTGAAAATGTGTGCTGAAATTAATTACTAAACACGCATTGATTTCAACAATCTTTCTGTAATGTGCACTCGGAGGACTTGAAGTGTGCTCGATTTCTAACAGCTTCATTTTAAAAGGTAATAACTGTTTGAGATTAGCGCTTTTTATTACAATTATTTTGCATTATCCAACGGGAGGCATCCTTTCATCGAATAAAATTGCTAACTTCATCAACATCAACACTGCTCTATCCACCATCGCCATTTCCACATGGTCTTGTGATGTCATTGTAATGGTTCAAATCCATAAAGGCGTTCTGTTCGTATCCAGCGATTCATTGTACAATTTGCTCATTCACCTTCCCAGCTGGTGCCGTGGCTCGAAGAAGCAGAGCCGCTGGGGGACTGGCGGACTTGGGTTCATCATCCTAAACCAGGGGTCGGCAACCTACGGCTCCGGAGCCGCATGCGGCTCTTTACGGGCTGCTTCTTGACGATATGTACAGTATGTACTCAGATGCATTGCGGCTCTTGAAATACTGAATTTTGTACCGAATTGGAAAATGGCTCTTCTTGTTATTTTGGTTGCCAACCCCTGTCCTAAACTAACCAACATGCTGAAGTATGTTCAAATAGCCCCAATGACCGACACACCCAAGCCATAACACAATATGATGGTCAATGTTATACAATGTTACTTTCAAATTAAAATCAGGTGCGTTTGATTTGAGTGTACTGTGGCAACAGAGGCAAATTCAACAAATTGACAGTCAAAACTGGAATACTGTTATGTGCAAATTTAGTAAATGTTCTGTCTATGAAAAGGCATTACCACATACTTTCCCGTCCAATATATAACACACAATACAGTTCAACCTAACATTGTTAAACCTAAATTATTTGCGAGGCGTTTCACAAACATACCAAAATAAACACGTTTAATTTGTTTTCGTCAGCTTCTGCGGTCATGTTTTTTTTGCGCCCTATTTCCAGATGATGTACATCGAAAATGGCAGGCGGCTGGGGTTATGTTTGTCGTGTTTTGGATTAAAAGGCGATGAAAACGGAGGCCCCGTCGTGAGCTCTGCCGGGCAAGCTGCGGTGCCAAAGTAAACCGAGGGAAAAAATGTGCAAGAATAGCAGACAAGTAACAACGTACCCTCAAGCTCGCCGCTAGGTGAGCAAAAAAGAAGCGGTAACGGGGACAAAAGCTGCACCACGAAGAAACAATACCGGACCATTTTTTTTATCTCCATGTTATTTTTTAAAAAATGCACGTCTTTCACAGTAAAAGTGCATTTGTCCACATTTAGAAAGAGTCTGCAGTTGCTTCGTGGAGTATTTTACACATCAGTCACCATATTTGCCATCACCTCGAATAGACTTGTTTTATTTGAGATACGTACCTACTCCATCTCTATTAAAGTGTGTGAGCACAAACGACATTCCTCTACATATCGTCATCGCAAATTGTTGTGCATTCAACTCAGTGTTAAAATTCTGTCAAGTGCATTTTATTTCAAACATTTACAGAAAGGTGTACATTCAAACGTAAAGAGTAAATCATTTATATGTGTGTATAAATGTGCAGGCATTTGTTATTCCTGTACAGTATTTGAATAAGAATGACAATGTGGTGCTGCTACAATTTCACAGCGCTTTCTATGTTTGCAAACATATTGTATGAAGATGGATCTTTGTTCGTATCGTAAGGCACTAAACTGCCGAGTGAGAGCATTCATTTTGAAATGCAAGCATATCAGATCTGTATTAAAATGCACACACTCTCCAAATCATGTACGTGTAAAGTTTGTTAAGACTTATATTGTCATGTGATAATGTTACATGGCACTGGTTTATCAAGGAGCTTTTCACTTTTTATAACTCCGAATTGTTTTTTGCTTTAAGTTTCCAGTTGTAAAAAAACCCCCAAAAGATTAACCTTGAAAATGTGCATACGTGTTCAACATGTCATTAACTAAAGGTACATCATATAAACAAAGCCAACATGATCCGCACCATGGCTTATTTGACCACAGTCACCTTCACCTACCTGAATATACCATTTACTTTTGCTCGAGAACACCTTTGATTAATGGCAAACATTTGCTTCCCACCTGCAACACAGCCTTTTAACTCGGTAATGCACCTACATTTACAGTATATGAAAACAAATTACGAAGAGAAGTGTTACTGGTAAGTTTGGGGGGTAATAAAAAAATATATTTGTTCTGTTTTATACATTTCAAATCTTTCACGGTTGAAAATGGCATTTGTTTGGCGCAGCGAGGCATGGTCTCCGTCCCTGGGCGGATCAACTTTCGGCCGGCACCCCCGTCCGGCGACTGGCACTCTCGTGGAAGGGAAGCTGGGTCAGGTCCCATAAGGGGTTGGCCACAAGCTGTGGGAGGGGGCAAATTATCGCCTCCAGTAATACGGCTTGGAACAAGGGCAGAAAGTGTCCAACATACAATATGGTAATTAAACATTTTGGATCACTGTTATGGTATGCAAATTTCTGAGCGAAAAAAAAACCATCGCAAGCCGCCACCTGTGTTGTTCTTCCGTTAAGGCTTGCCGACAAGTCGAGCGCTCCAAATTTCAGAATCAGGCTGGATCCAGTCATTCCCCATAAGAGCTGGCAAATCTAAATCCCCAAAATACTCCAGCCTGTGGCTGTAAGTCAACAGAAAGGCAAAACAAGCTGCAATTAAATTTTTGTCAATTGGGCAGTATTTATTTGTCACATTTCCCGAAAAAACAGTGTGCCTTTGGCAAAGTGCACGACTCACAAGTCGGGCTGCATGCCGGGTTGCACTTTGTGCTTGGGGACCGGAAACAAGGCCTCGTACACACGGGCCTCCCCTGATCCGCGAATGGCATAGGCATTAAATTTGCACACCCCGGGAGGCAGATATCTCCAAGGCACGAGGGCATGGCCCTGCCATCTCCGTACACCGTTGCTCTCATCTTCGAGAGGCATCACTTCAAAATCCAGCGGAAGGTCGTCCTGAAAATAACAAGAGGTGTGAATAAAAGTACTTTGGAGGAGTGCTGTTTGTGAATTCAACAGTGGCTGTCTTATGGAGACTATCCCTCATCATAGGAATGCAGAAATTCCAGCACTGGTACAGGGCTGCAAATAAGAGATGCCCAATGCTCATTTGAGAAGGACATTACTCACTTGTTTGTTAATAATACCCAAGACAATGAACCACAGTTCTGAGTTAAATATTCACCTTCCATATTTTCCGTCGTCCGTCCAGAAGAAGCACCAGGTGTTGCCCATGCCTGAAACACAGCAGAGTCGTATTTGCCAAATTTGCTGTGAAGCAAACTGATGTATGCAGCAGCATGAGCTGAGAAATGTGCCAAGAGCAACATTAAGAGGAAAAGTGAGCATTACATTTCACGAAAATATGGCTGGTTGTTTTATTATTTGATTTTACTAGAGAGCAAAATTGAATACGCGAGGCAGAAATATTAGCGGTTCATTCAGGCACGGTGTAATGTAAGACTTTCTGGATGAAAGCAGCTGCTTGGGTAGGTAATCGGTATTGTGTCTAGGGATGCAACTGCACACCCACACAGCCCTGTAATCATACCCATGAGTGAGCAAAGGCAACAAGTGAAACTCACGGGCAAAGTTCAACCTCCAGGTACTTCTCCATTTGGTCGTTTAAGAAAAACATTTCCACGACTGCAAAGAAAATATAATAAATATTTGATACCTTTAGAACTTGTACTTTTCAGATATTTAACTTTTCTCCTTTCATCGAATACACTTACGACACCATTCCCTCCCACTAAATTTCCCAGGTAAAATAAACCACCCATGTCCTTATCCTTGTTGCAATTGAATTATTACGTGCAGATAATAAAGGCATATTGTTGCTCTGTCTGATTTTCCTATATGTGTTAGATAATTATGAATAACATGTTGGTTTCATTTACCACGTATGAAAATCAAATATGGCAAGAAATATCAAGCCATATATAAGCAGGTTTATATGAATGGGATTTTCTGGCTTGGAAAAGGATAGCAATATCACAATATTAGGTACAGGGAGGTTGGAGGACTACTGCACAGATGTAAGGTCACCTTCATAATCCCACAGTTGATGACATGGCTGGCCTGGGTCGCTGTGTGGTGCAGGAGGGTCATTGAAGAAAGGTGCTGTCACCCCCAATTGCAACCCAAGACCCTCAGGGTGAGGTCGCAAGCTCATCACCATGGGATCGTGGTCTACTGGCTCACCATCCCACGTGTTGACAATCTGGATCTCCATTTGTCTGTTCACACCAATATGTAATTAGTTTTTCATTAATCACTCGCTGTATACACAGAACAGAGTCATAGGGAAGCACACGTAATTTAGTGTATTCATTTGGGTACTTGAAGCAAATGCAATATACTGTATCTCAAGATGGTTTGCATAACAATGTATATCTTTATTCGGGAGGTGAAAATGAGAGAAATGGACCCGAGATATTGCTTAGTACCAGGAGAGAGAATAATTCTTTTGTTGTCCTTATTGTAGTAAAAAATGTGCAAAAATCCCTTCAATTGGGCTATTTTATATTCTGAATTTAAATTCATTATAAAGTCTGTTATTGTTGGAATGTGTGACATGCGGCCCATTGTTGGTATTTTTCCCAATGTCCTTGGAAGGGTAGCGAATTACACCTTCCAATTCTATAGAAAAAAAACACGTGGCACAAGGATTGTTTTTGGAGGTCTCTTCCATTCTGCTACTTTCACGTGCCAAGCTTCCACTCCCTCCACAAGTCAATCATTTTGGATTTTAAAATTTGTATTTCAATGCACCAGCATTTGAGCAACTGCTATACAGGAAGCAGTGCAGAATCATGTTATGACCACCTCTGTAAACACACATGATTCTGATCTAATTACCCACATTCGAGCGATGTCAACCATTCAGATTTACTACCATCTTCCATTATCTTTGTCTTACACTTTAGACTGTATATAGAAAATGAGCGTTGTTCCTATTATTCAATACTACAGTAGTGTTACACACTCTTGTCAATCCAATACCAGATGAAGTTCTTCAGCCATCAGTATTGGTCACCCTGGGTCGTTTGACTGTAACTCCGGTTCGGATATCACTCGCCACTGATTGTTTTCATGGATGGCAATTAAACTCCTGGGTTCATGCCGTCATGCAATTTCCACTGCTTCTCCCACACGCATATTATTATTGCTGCATATTGTTTAAAAGTGCAGCTATTATTTTGAGGGCCAACATAGCGTCTGTGGAAATGTTTAAGTAACTATACAATCAAATATTAGATGTGCCAATCACATCCCAAGGTAAATATTCAAACTTGTCACCGTGCTTCACACCAACATGTAATAATTTTTTCATTAATCACTCGCTGTATACACAGAACATAGAGTCATAGGAAAGCATACGTAATTTAGTGTATTCATTTGGGCTACTTCAAGCAAATGCAATATACTGTATCTCAAGATGGCTTGCATAACAATGTATATCTATATTCGGGAGGTGAAAATGAGAGAAATGGAGCCGAGATATTGCTTAGTACCAGTAGAGATAATCATCATTTTGTTATCCTTGTTATAGTAAAAAATGTGCAAACATCCCTTCAATTGGGCTTTTTTTATATCCTGAATTTAAATTCAATATAAAGTCTGTTATTGTCGGAATGTGTGACATACGGCCCATTCTTGGTATTTTTCCAAATGTCCTTGGAAGGGTAGCGAATTACACCTTCCAATTCTATAGAAAAGAAAACATGTGGCACAAGGATTGTTTTTGGAGGTCTCTTCAATTCTGCTACTTTCACGTGCCAAGCTTCCACTCCCTCCACAAGCCAATCATTTTGGATTTTTAATTTTTTCATTTCAATGCACCAGCATTTGAGCAATTGCTATCCAGGAAGCAGTGCAGAATCATATTATGACCACCTCCGTAAATCCACATAATCCTGACATGATGAATTATCCACATTCGAGTGATGTCAACCATTCAGATTTACCATCTTCCATTATCCTTGTCTTACACTTTAGATTGTTTCTATAAAATGAGCTTTGTTACTATTATTTAATAATACAGTAGTGTTACACACTCTTCCTTGTTAACCCAATGCTGGTTGAAGTTCTTCAGCCATCAGTATTGGTCACCCTGGGTCGTTTGACCGTAACTCCGGTTCGGATATCACTCGCCACTGATTGTTTTCATGGATGGCAATTAAACTCCTGGGTTTCATGCCGTCATGCACTTTCCACTGCTTCTCCCACACGCGTATTATTATTGCTGCATATTGTTTAAAAGTGCAGCTATTATTTTGAGGGCCAACACAGCGTCTGTGGAAATGTTTAAGTAACCATACAATCAAATATTAGATGTGTCAATCACGTCCCTAGGTAAATACTCAAAATCGCCACCATGCTTTGTTACATTGCATCGCACGCCAACGCAAGCCGTCTCCTGCAGAGGGCAGCACTGCCACAAACACGCGACAATAATTCCTGCGCCCCAAGCCTCACGGCGATTGCTAACGCAGCGGTGATTTTTTTCACAAACGCCTTTGTGAACTCGCATAAGTTATGACAGACCGACGCTATAGACATTGCCGAAAGCGTTTGGAAAAAAAAGCCGGTCCCCGGCGTAAACAACAACTTTCCTTTCGAGCAACCATTAAATGTTAACAAATAGCACCAAAAATATTATGTCAGAAGTGGGATTTGAACCCACGCCTCCAGTTGGAGACCAGATATCCCGCGTTGAGCACGGAAGGCTTCAATTCGCCTTGAGTCTGGCGCCTTAGACCGCTCGGCCATCCTGACATCCCACTCACAACATCGCACAGGACCCCTCTTAAGCCCGCAACGTTATCATCATCACAATAATGATCATCTGCTGCGGTCAATCCAATGCTGGATGAAAGGCGCTCCAAAGCAAATTTGCCATCTCTCACGATCATCGAAATCAGCATCATCATCGCAATTGCGATTTCCATGGAGAAAAATCATCGTCACCAGCCAGGGTCAATCAACTGCTGGATGATCATCTTCCTTGAGCCGCTCGCCCGCCACTTTTTTCCGATCTTACGATGTAAATGAATAAACCACATCGCAGCGGCAATACCAGCTGCGGATTTCATCATTCCGTCTCCCTATGGAAAGGATTTCCGTCCGTGACCATCGCGGTCACGATTGTGTTTGTGGGCGAGTTTTGATGTTGTGATTATCACCACCATCATCACCCCCGCTATTCTATTGAGAATGTGCCGGTCAACAACGAATTGCCAGCGTTTGCGATTTGACTGCAGAAGTTTTAAGTTACGTATCTTCGTGCGTTGCCATACCTGACACACACACACACAAGTTGTAGTGCCGAGACGTATAGTGTAACACGAGTGACGTGTGGCATTTTTGTTTAAATAAAACAGGTAAAGTAAGTCGAAACAAACCGCAGAACATCGACTGAGTGGTCACTTCCGTGGCAGCAGCAGCAGCGCGGGTGGCAGCACGAGGCACGTGACCGCAGCGTGACTCAGTGCGGTGAGCGGGGCGGGGCTGCCGTGATGATGGGGGTGGTGCCGGTGATGGGGGTGTAGGTGATTGTGGTGATGTGTGTATAGGTGATGGTGGTGATGGTGATGGGTGTGTAGGTGATGGTAGTGATGGTGATGGTGGTGATTGTGATGGGTGTGTAGGTGATGGTGGTGATGGGTGTGTAGGTGATGGTGGTGATGGTGATGGGGGTGTAGGTGATAGTGGTGATGGGTGTGTAGGTGATGGTGATGGTGATGGGTGTGTAGGTGATGGTAGTGATGGTGATGGGTGTGTAGGTGATGGTGGTGCTGGTGATGGGTGTGTAGGTGATGGTAGTGATGGTGATGGGTGTATAGGTGATGGTGGTGCTGGTGATGGGTGTATAGGTGATGGTGGTGATGGTGATGGGTGTGTAGGTGATGGTGGTGCTGGTGATGGGTGTGTAGGTGATGGTGGTGATGGTGATGGGTGTGTAGGTGATGGTAGTGATGGTGATGGGTGTATAGGTGATGGTGGTGATGGTGGGTGATGGTGGGTGAATAGGTGATGTGTGTATAGGTTATGGTGGGTGAATAGGTGATGGTGGGTGAATAGGTGATGTGTGTATAGGTGATGGTGGTGCTGGTGATGGGTGTGTAGGTGATGGTGGTGATGGTGATGGGTGTGTAGGTGATGGTGGTGATGGTGATGGGTGTGTAGGTGATGGTGGTGATGGTGATGGGTGTGTAGGTGATGGTGGTGATGGTGATGGGTGTGTGGGTGATGGTGGTGATTGTGATGGGTGTGTAGGTGATGGTGGTGATGGTGATGGGTGTATAGGTGATGGTGGTGATGGTGGGTGATGGTGGGTGAATAGGTGATGTGTGTATAGGTGATGGTGGGTGAATAGGTGATGGTGGTGATGGTGGGTGAATAGGTGATGGTGGTGATGGTGGGTGAATAGGTGATGTGTGTATAGGTGATGGTGGTGATGGTGGGTGAATAAGTGATGTGTGTAAGTTGATGGTGGGTGTATAGGTGATGGTGGTGATGGTGGGTGAATAGGTGATGGAGGTGATGGTGGGTGAATAGATGGTGGTGATGGTGGGGTGAAAGGTGGTGATGAGTATAAAGGTGAATATGGGTGTAAGGTGATTATGGTCAATGTAAAGTTGCTAATGTATCTCATTCACTCATTAATTCCTCATTTACTCTTTCATTCGTGCATTATTTTCTCATTCTCACTCATGCGTCATTCATTGTGATTACTCCCTCGTTCCGTTAGTAATTTAGCTCATTTCACTCAACCCTGTCAGTCTCATTCTTTCCTCACTTAATTCCTCACTTTCTCATTTGCACACACCGCTGTCTGGCGGACAGCAACAAACCATTTGATTTTGCAATTTACAGAAGTGCTTTACATTACAAAGTTTTTAACTTCACAATACAGTAAGTATGAGCTTAATTGTGAAATGTTTCAAAAGTTTTTGAGATCGCATTTCCCTCCTTCATTCAATCACTCGTTCTCACCTCATTCAATCACATGGCACCCTGATGCTCACCTATGACTTTCCTGCAGGCCAAATATTGCTCGTGGCACCGTTTGCTTGGTTCACGGTTGAACCTCGAGGCTATCAGGGAATCATTTGATGTTCTAATGCACGTAAGCACTATTGAATGCAGGGGTGTGTAACGCTCTAGTATACATACACATGTATGTATACTGTGTGTGTATGTGCGCGTGTTTTGCGCCTATAACTCGGCAAGGTGGACTTTTGAACGAGACTAAACAGGTGGGTTTGTGTAAGATTTGTTAAAAGTGTCACATAGCCAAAGACGATGCAAGATGTGTATATGTGTAGCGTCTGATCGCGTACGCACACCCCGCCGGTATCCACTTACCTGCCGTTCGCCGTATCCACTTACCTGCAGTTGCAGCCAGAGGTCGGTAGGGTGTGCCAGCGTGTACAAAGGGGATAGAGATGGAGCCGGACCAAAGAGAGGCGGGGTTCCCCACCCCTACCCCAGGTGGGGGGCTGGGAGGGGGCCCTTCTAGGATCTTCTGGAAGGTTCCAGAAAGGGGGCGGTACCAGGGGCGGAGGGTCCCCTGGAGGTGTATAAAAGGGGTACCCCAAGCGCAGCTCGGGGCAGTGCTACGAAGACTGAAGAGCAGCTAGACTAGGACCCTGGGACCTCGAGCCCGCTGCCCTTGTAAGGGCCGAGTCGAGTAGTAGTAGGGTTTTACCCTTTAAACTGGTACAAAACTGACACCTTTCTACAAGGCATCATGTTTGCAATAACCACAACACAGGTAGTCAAAATGCCAAGAAAAAAAACAACTCTGATAATGATAATAATATGCACTGTCCTTGAAGTTGATCGGTCCACACCCGAGACAGCTTTCCTTAGAGCCTAGTCTCCATTGGTGTTATTTTTGTAACAGTTTAAAGGTTAAAAAACCTACTACTATATTTTGCCACTGGTAAAGGAGGTCTCATAGTGACCGGGTCGAGCTTGGACCAGAGGTCGTACCCGTACCTTGGCTGGGACGGGACAAATAGCCTCCCCTGGGGCACTGCTAGCCGGAGGGCTAAGAGTTAAGTTGGCAGAGTATAAGTCCGTGATAACCTGGAGGCCGTACCTGCCAGAGAGCGATTGTTAAGGGAGTTGTCTGTTAGTTACAAATAAACCGTGGTGCCTCGACGACAACGTCTCCATCTCCATAAGAACTCACGACATATTTACAGGCAGACCTCGTCGAACGCAGGGATTACGAAATTGCCGTGTCGGGTAAAATCGCTTTCGACAAATAACTCATTCGACATAATTTCCGCCCTTGTCATTGTTCGAAAGAATGCCGAGTCGATCATCCATTTGTCGCGCGCGCGTATGTGTGTGTGTCCACTCTTTATTTTTCAATTTCACGTCAACACGAAGCGCCCGCGTCTCCATCACTCCAACGCTTGCCCCTTGTGACACCGTCACCTTGCACGGTAATGATTCACCACCGAGGCGTCCGTCCGACTGACCTGCTCGCACGCGTGGACGACGAGATAGATGCACGCGGCGAGACTTGAGCGTGGACATCACCGATGTGCCGTTGTGCATGTTGAGTGCGTTCCATTATCACGCGAAAAATTGTATATACTCGCACAAAAAAGCGCACGTGGGGTGTGCCTTAGTGCGATGAATCTTAGGAATGGATGTTCAAGTTCAAGTTAATTTATTAGGTATAGCCCTGTGAGCCATTCGGCTCTTAAATCGGGTGCAACCGCAACAAACAAAAAACAAAAACATGAACAAGAAAACATCTTAAAGTGAATATGTGACTAAGTGCAAACAGAAAATCCAAGAAAAAACAGGAAAATATTGCAGAAAAAACACCGTACACCAACGCTGTGTGCAAAAATCCCAGTGGGATGCAAGTCAAACAACAAAAACCACAAGATGTGCTTGTTGGCACACGCGAACGTACAAACAACACGGTTGCAATAGGGGGCCGTCCATAAATGACGTCACGCACCTATGGGGGGGGGTCAGCCATTTGTGACGAGGGGGGGTTTAGAAATGTGACGTCACATCAAAATGCGCAACTTTAAATAAATATTAATTAAATAGAATTGTTATAACAACACTAATTTGATTAATTTGCATTATTAACTATCTGGTTATTTAAATTGACTAAGGTCACCTTTTGTTTATTCTATGAAGGAGCATTTTGCTTCTCCATTGGAGAATGGAGAAGCATACATTTTGTAAATGTTTTGAATGATTGTTATTAAATATTTTGATTCTAATGATTCTACCAGGGCTTTTCATTCTGTGGAATGAATATGTGATTGTTATAATTGTACTCTCCATTTTTCTTAGTTCTACTACAAAGTTTCAAGTATTTTTTAATAGTTATAATTAAGTTATAATAACTTTTAATATTTTACAATTATAATAGAATTTTAATATAATATTCTGAACATCTGCAGTTTTAGTTAGACGTTGAATATTTTCAAGTGAATTTTATGCAAAATTTCAGCTTTCCAACGCCTTTTTAATACATGTTTTCTTCTACAACATCAGAGTGCAGCGCCACATTAAATACGCACTACAATGACAATAGTTTAAAGTAATTTGAAGCATGTTTATTTTCATAGTGGAAATATGGTTGGGGGGGGGGGGTGCAGAGCTTTGTGACGTCATATTTGAGGGGGGTCTGACGTTTTGTGACGCCGTGTGACGAGGGGGGGAGGGAAAGGTAAAAAAATCGGCCAAAATCGCGTGACGTCATTTATGGACGGCCCCTCATCAGCAGCAACAGTATGATGTATTATTTATCAGCTGGAGTAGCAAACCCCAGCAACAGCATGTACAAGATTTTTGTTCTTGGGTACTAAGTGTTATTTTAAATTTGCATATGCCTCAAAAGTACAGAAAATGGCTATTATTCCCCACAAACTTTGCTTTTGTGACCAGGACTTTACGTGAAGGAATGACACAAATGCGCACGTTTTCTCATTGAAAATAAGTACATTTCAAAATATCACTGTCCTGGTCACAAAAGCAAAGTTTGTGGGGAATAATAGCCATTTTCTGTACTTTTTAGGCATAAGCAATTATAAATAACACTTACTACCCAGGAAAAAAAACATAAATGTTTTTGTTACACAGTGTGATCATCAACAAGACCGTAAATATTAAAACGCATCTGATGTTTTTACGTTTTTTTAGTGCCACATGGAACCCGTAATTGCCGCAGTTCATATGATTGCGCGAATAATAAGAATGTGTCGTGACTTCTGGGTGACCCTTTCCACGGATTGTTAAAGGTGCAGATAAGTGGATACCATTGGTGCAGATAAAATGAGATTCATGGTATTGATGTGCTGTATACTTTTGAAGATAAATCAAAAGCGATTTAAGTAAATTGCTGACCAGACTGAAAATTATATTTTCTTTACTGATCTCTATATATAATGTGGCTGTATATATTATTTTAAATGTATAAACTGCATAAAAAATTCTGCTAAAATGACAATGATTATACGTTTTACGATTCCACCTTTTTCATAGATTTTGCATCATGTATAAGGCATGTACGATTTATCCCAAAACCATATTTTTTTTTACCAATTTTAGCAAAACACCAATGGTATGTTTTTGATTTTCACGAAAATAAAAGTGCTTCAACTCCGCATTTTTAAATTGCATTACTTGGCATAGACACAATACTTTTGAATTTTATTCCAATGTAACGACGTTTTTTCACCATTTTGCCTGTTGTTTTATTTTTTTATTTTTTTTGTTCCTCAATACTGTTAAATGTAAAGGTGCAGTTGTTTGCTCATGATCAATGTTACTAGAAGGGCATCCATCAGATAGAGAGAGCGAGCTATGAATGACATTTTGGCCTGCTCTTCCACGCAGGCCAGACATCTTGAAGAGGTGGAAATGTAAACACTTTACCCCTCCACATGCAGCATTAATGCTGCCGAGTATACAGAGGTGGAGGGATTTTGAAAACTTGGTCATTCAGCTGAGGCGCTGGAATATCGAATCGGCGACCTCTGGATTACAAGTCCAGTGGGCAAATGTTTAGACCATGGCATCATTAGCGTTGCATCGTTCATCATTTTTCGGTATACATTTAAATCAGCGAATGACATTTTAATCCAATTTCTGCAAAAACCGACAGTGCTTTTTCAATGTAACCATATCTAGAATTGGGGTGCCCAGTTGTTAGATAGCTAACATTGGAACCTTGGGGACCTATCTTTGGATTCTGTCCCAGACCTGGATTCGCTTCTTTTACGCCGGAGGCAGAGCTACGGAGCGAACTGTCCATCTGAGCCGCATGCTGTTTTGTGGTAAAGCTATCACAGGCAGACAAGAACTGACAGCTCGATTCAAGTGTAGCGCACCGTAAGCTAATGCTGTGCAAATCTGTGGAGGAATCTCATAAACCATCACACCCATTTAATAATAGTGTACTGTATGCAGGCATGGGAACGCCTTCTGCCTGCCACATTTCTGTACATTCCGTTATAATGGCAGGCCAGTTGGAACACCGAAGCAGCAAGAAACAAATCACAGGATCACTCATTATGAGGGATTACAGTTAGTTATATATGCATGCAAACCATAAAAGTACCGTTAGGAAGAAAAAAAAATCTTGCAGTATTTAGCATCAACTTCATTTGTGCATTTCAGATTAAAGTGCAAATTGATGTTATGAAGGCTTTGCACATGCCAACATAATGGTGGCTTAAAAAAGCAATTTTTTAAAAAGATGTAGCCCCTCTCTGTAATGAGCAACGAAGACCTGTGCCAAATGTGTGCTAAGTGGGGGAGCATTGAATTTAAAGTAAGCTAATGTATTTTGCGTACAATCTGAAATGTGTATATTTTATTTGACTCGCGCACATATTTGAAAAGTCTTTAGTTTATTTAAAGTAGCAATTGTAGCTAATACATACAAGTCTTAAAAACAACAGAATTATACCCAATTTTACTCACATTTTACATCGTTCCTACAAAAGTTGAAGAAAAGTAATGTTTTGCATGTTATGTTATTGCAGTTTATTGGTAATTACTGGCAATGTGGAGTGATTATGCATACAAATGCTTATTCAGGGCATATAAATCCATCCTTTGGAAGATACTCTCATGTAAATATTGCTATAAATTATCTTTAGTGCAGCATGAGCACGGATTTATGTGGATGTGACTGGCCTGATATTACTGTGATTTGTCCAGTAGCCACATGTATCATTCTGCAATCCTCATTTCCATCTGTGTCCAAAATTCAACTGGGAATTTTGAGATACACATTTACATGCTAACATTTTTTTACAGAATACAGTACTTAACTGGGACCATCATGCAACATTTAACATAAAACAAAGTGGCTTAAATATATGAACTAAAATATGGTTTAACAAATCCGATGGAAAATAACAACAGTAAGTGCAATAGCTGCTGTGACTTTAGGTAGCAAAGCATCCTTGATTTATTCAATAAATAAGCATATATGTGTATATTTTATACACTGTCATGCATAAATACTGTAGGTAAATTTACTTTAATATTGGCACAATACATTTTTGTAAGGGGAGTGTTTACTTCTTCAAGTGTGAAAATTGGATCTTCCTTTTCCTCCGAGTCCTAAGTTACAGGATTCTTTAGATATGAAGATGCGCATAAAATTAATCCGCTAATCTAAACATCCCATCATTTGTTATGGCTCCATCTTTCTCCCAAAGAAGTACCACATCTGAATTGTCAATCATCGGCCAATTCCTTTCTGCTTTCAAACTCCCATTTGCTGGGACATCTTCAATCATTCTTGTGTTGTTCTCCCACTTCTCATCCTTTTCCTCAGGCTCGTCTGTGAGCGACGGTCTGCATTCCAGAAGTCCCACACCTGACCATTGATTTTCTTGAGATAAATAAATTGGAGTTAGAAATTCATGAGCTATATACCCATTTAAAAATTATGTTTAACCCATGACATCCAAAATGCAACTAAAACGAACGAATTGGTTTTTAAAACTCCACGTGAGTCTCAAAATATGGCATTAGTTTTGACCTAGTCATTTCAGAAATCCATTAAGAATGTAGCTATTATATCATGATAGATGTAAATTGAAAAATTGTAGAAAATGTTATAATTTCCAAAGAAAACCTGCGACCAAAAGTCTAGCTTTTCTACATCGAGTGGGTCACTTGAATGTTTTTTTCTGAAAATCTGGCATTCTTCAAAGATGCACTTGCATGAGCTTTCTTTGTGGCATGGAGTGTGAACAGAATTATTTAAATGTAAAGTATCTTAAATATGTTATTACAAAACTAAAGGTTTCAAACGTGTCAACACTTATATATGTTTATAAATATACATTTTTCTAATTGTGCAATTTGGTAAAACTCACATTTTTTTTTATTATACCGTCATGGCACTTAGCTTACATTAACCTATATGTTTCTAATCCATATGACCTGGAAACATGGACATTGGTGAATACATTGAGAACAAAAGCTGAAAAGTGTTCAAAAGTCTTGGGGAGAGGTACAAGTTTGGAATTACACTGAGAGACAGAAAAAGGAAGACATGGATTAAGAACAAATGCATGTTAGAGCCGTCATATTGACTGTTAAGAAAGACAAGTGGGCTTGGAGCGGATCCATCATTAGAAGGACTAATAACAGTGGCAGCCAGAGAGATCACACAAAAGAAGATGTATATCGTAGAGATGGAGGAATGATATCAGCTTGTGTGCAGGACTGGTGCATCGTGAGACCGTGAGAGATGTGACAGCTCGGGAAGACCTTCATCCAGCAATGGATATATCACGGCTGCTGAGGATAATGTGCCTTAAACGGTTTCAATGAAGTAGCCCTTTTGTCGAGTCTTAATGGGTCAGTAAGTGGCCACCTCTTGTGGTGCCACCTGCAGGATCAGCTGCAGGACACGTGTCACCCTGTCTGCAAGGCACAGGACACACATAACATCTTGCGTGAAAACATTTTACATAATGGTATTCAAAGAAGCTAAAAGGGCATCCTAGTTATATCTGTAAACCTAAACTGGAAACATGGCAAAACCCAATGAGCCCAATGGGCCATTAGCTCTCTTTTAGAGGTGATCTGGCCACACTTGATAGCTCACTGAAGTGGCTTATTAAATGTGGGGATAGAAAGTTGCCAAATTATCTAAACGCATGTTTCTAAATGTGGAGGGCAAAGCCAGTGGACCCAGAGAAAAATCCACACGTCCATGGGGAGAACATACAACTCCAAATATATAGGCGTCAGAGTCGGGGTCGGGGGGTCAAACCCACAATCTCCTACATACCCCAATTTATGTAGTAATTTACTTTAACATAAACCTGTAATCATAAGAAGTTAAAACAGTAATTTTGATTCAAAGAGATGACTGTTTTCCAATATTGGTGTAATGTTAACCAACGGCTTTTTCCTATTAAAATATGTACATCATTTCACGTATATGTCTGTGCTTTCTGTTTCTTTCACTGCACATTTTGAAAGGTATGCGATGAGTTTGTACATGTAATTCATGGTGTAGTATGCGTTGCAGTAATAACGGTGTACCGTTCTCGTGCTTGCACATGGAAGGCTATTAAAATGTGATAAAACCACCTCTTCCAGGATAACCCACTAGCACGGATAACAAAGAGATCGTAGGGGTAGTGGCGTCATCGTATTTGGGACTATGTATCTATGTTAAACTTCTTTCGCACCGTACGTAGAGAACTGTGCTAATCGGAGGTGATGGGGGAAAGAAAAACAACGTTAACACAAAAAGCAGTTCTGAATAAGGCTTCCTAATCGGAAGGAAGAGTATTCCCAATCGCCGCAGAAGCGCATCTGAAAGCGCGCGATGCAGTGACCGTCTTTTGTTCGACGGTTAGCCAAAAGCCACTGCGAGGGTGACCGGAGTTTTCATGATGGTTTATGCTCCTTGACGAGGTTAGCAAGGTATTGTGGTTCACTTGGGGCACGCACTTTGTGTTGTAATGAGCACGACCTTATGAGGCACGCAATGAGTGAGCGAGGTTACCCGAGCTAAACAATTGCTGACCTGTGGCACGCTTGACTGCAGTGGGCTTGCCGTCCCAAACCACAGTGAGGTAGTAGGCAGGAACGCCACTCAGCGTAATGGCACAGCCAATGCCACTGTTAACCGGGTCCGAGTAAAGAGACAGAGCCACTACCAAAAGGCATGACAGGGAGAAGAAGACTGGGATGAACAGGGGCACCTACAAATGAGAAATTCCACATTAATCACATCCTGTAATGCATAATTTTTCATTTATCACATGTTCATATTAACGTCGCAGCAGTCGTAATTAACACCATCTCATATGTCACGTAACAATTTTAATTGCTGCATCAACGACAAAAAATCAAAACTAAAGCAAAACTGAAACAATTTTGAACATATTTGGAATTCCATGTACAAAGGAAAAGGTGCCAGCGTACATTCTTCTGCATGTCACTCCACGTGGAAGGGCCTTGAATGGAGGGAGTTCTAGAAAGACTCACTGTACAGGGCACAATGGCCTACTCTTCCATACTGGCCATATATATACACCTTAATTATCAGTGCAGAAATCATAAAATTTAACTGACATAAGCACTCTAGCTAAATGTACATATTTGGTTAGACTGGGATGGCCATAATTATTGAGGAAGCTCGGAGAAGTTAGTTGGGTTTTTTTATGTAGTTGTCAGTGATTTCCAAATGTGGAATGTCATGTATATCACTGGCAAGTTGTGGTCTGATGCGGAAACTAGTGTCAATGTATGTTCACTTCACAGCTGCAGAAAGCTATGTTTGCGTAGATTAAATCACCAGCGGCCAGTGTACTGAACACTCCTACTAGGCCTAGGCAATTGCAGAGGAACAACAGACAAGCTATGCAGTCCTCTATACAGTATATTATATGTGGGAAGAAGACCGGAGCACATGGGAAAAAAAACCCACACATACTAAGGGACAACACTCTATCCCATACAAAAGAGACAGATGATATTAGTCCACTCTTTGGTGGACTGCATTCTGCTGGCAATCTAGCATATGGCACCTTGATGCCCAAGGGAAGGTGAAATTCGCAACATTTGTCATCCACCAACCCTGGCTGCTACCATATTGCTGGCTTACAGACATGCGCCACCACCGTCCGGCTAATCATCGTGCTGTAGCGGGCGGCACTTGCCTTGAATGGACGATGCATGTGTGGACGTGTGAAGCGCATGTACACCAGCCCGCTCACAGCCATTGCAATGAAAAGCCAGCGTGCAAAGCTGAAGAAATTTAGCAGGCTGTAGATGTCTCCAACGAACAGCATCAGCATCGTCAACGGGTACTGCAAAAACATAAAATGTCGGTCAGAATAAAGTAGGTAATTTCCCTTAAACCATAATGAACATAAGCCTTGGCAGGTGCAGATTAAGGAAACATGTCATGTACTGGCCAAGTGCGCTTACATAATTTGTGTGGCGTGGCTGTTTGCCTGAGAATGTGAATTTACCAGAATGATCACGGCAGGCAGCGGAGTGTGTTTCCGAACATGGATCATGGACAAGATGTGTGGAAGGTGGCCCTCTCGTGATGCCACGAAAAACATCCTGAAAGTTTCCAAATTGCATAGTAGTGATTAATAACTTGGGCTAAAGTATTGCAAAATTGTGGAACCGCATATTCATATTCGACGGGGTTTGTATAAACGTTGGCCAAAAACACACGGCAATAATACGCTTTTGCTGGCGTACAAAAGGACACGAGGCATCGAGCTAAAGACGTAGTCCTGGATTTGATTGATTGTGCTACTTTTGCCAGAAGTAGCACGAGCAAGGGTATTTGGCCTCATCTTCCAAGCTCGCCAGACCATCTTGTGGAAGTTCCTACATTTTACCCCACCACACTACACATGGCTTAACAATCGTCTGACCGTGGTTTGCGTGCTTGAACCGGCAACCTCCGTATTGTAAGTCCATTCTGTTAACTATTACACAACGGCAACATTGTGACATGAGTCATAATTTAAGTGTTATTGTACACTGGGGAACACATCGTATTAAATATGTTACCTTGCTATTGCAAAGACTCCTCCATTTAAGGATCCCAGGCAGGACAAAGCTACGAACACTGGAACGGTGATGGAAAAATTCCCCAGAAGACGTTCCGCAAATGTCTGTAATACAGAGAAAAATACATCTCTTATCACCATTGCTGACATTCGTGCAGCATTGCCTCTTTATTAAATATTTGCTTTGTTTAACAGAATGTACGATTCTGTGATTTCAGATGCTTTCGCTTGACTTAATATGATGCTTTAAAGTATGCACCATATCGCTGTATATATAGGCAGCTTTGGGAGGCCGTCATCCAGCAGTGGATTGGCCATGACTGATGACGATGACAATCGGAATACAGTAGCTGTTTACATTCTACTGAGAACATTTCCTCCAGACTCGAACCGTGTGAAAACACAATCAATACAGCCATTAAACTACATTACAAAAGAGTAACTCTTCTGTTTCCCCACACAACAAAAAAAAGTCTTGGCCGCCTTATAAAACCAATAAGACTTGCAGCGCATCATTGACTTAAACCGAGTTGGAACAAGTAATGTTGGTCAAAAGACACTGTGCATTTGCGCAGGACCTAATTTTACGACTCTGTCCATGCATTCAAACAAGTAACACCGCATACTTTGCGCACCTACATTCAATTGAAATCACTTGGACGTTTGTGTGGCAAAAGGGTGTGTGACTATTACGTGGATTGCACAAAGGCAAAATGCCATTGTGCAACGTGGCAACAATGACTTTTTTTGAGTTGTGTTCCAAAGGCCCCGAAGAGAACACCGACACAAACAGTGCTGCCTAATGACATGCAATTACCCGGAGGACACAACGTACAGCACGCAAAGTTATTGAGAGGGAAATAAACCCCTACATTTTAAAAAGCCAATCAGTTTAAGCTGCAGTCCTCAAGGAAATGTTTTAAGAGCAGCGCTTATATTTTAAGTTATCCTTCCTTGAGACAAGGTGAATGGAAATACGTTCGGAAATTCTTGATTTTCGGGTATTCACGATCCAAAAATTTTATTCAACAAAATATCTGTGATATTTGCAAAATCAGTCTACTTAATAAGCTTAACTATGTTGGATATGTATTTAATTAAGGGCTTTAAATCTAGTGTACACTTCTAACGATAAATGAATGGGTACATTTGTATCACGCATTCTAGTCAAAATACTTTTTTATAAACGCATGTTTTTTTTTACCTGTGTATGTGCCAAGGTTTTAATGATTAAAGTTATCTGCATTGCTGCAGGGCTGCGGTAATTCCTCCGTTGCTCTTGATGTAAATAACCAGGGAGGGCGTTCCATGTGTGATTCAAAGCAAAGGTCCATACCGTAAATGTTTTTTTTATTTGAGTCACCATTGCATACGTGAGTGATCACCATGACTGGCATTAATGTATCCTGTAGGAGGGCTCGTCATCTTACCACAGCCACAGCTTTTGACGCCAGAAGCTCGGCACCACTCATCACAGCGAAGTAAGCCATGTTCATGAACGTGTATGCTACGGTCACAATGCCCATAGAAATGCAAATTGCCAGAGGAATGTTCCTGAACCAGAAAAACAACAACAATTAATAAAACATTGGCAGATGCACTCAATGCAAGTTCATCGTTGTTGGTTGTTATTCACAATGTAACTAGGATAGCAGACACACAAAAAAACAGGGAAACACAAAGCAAAATGTACTATGGGAACAGTATTGTTGTATGTATACTGACAAATACAATTATATAGTAAATTAACTGATGATCACATTATTAAATCGCACGCTTTCCATTATGCATAGCATATAATTATCGTTAGCATTGTTGTGCAGGTTATATTAAAAATAAACTTATATTTGTCGCTCGAGATAGAAAACTGTTTTTTTTAACACTTCCTGTCTTTTTTTTGTCAACCACAAGGCCTTCTGGGAGTGCATAATTTCAACAGCATTGGTTCAACACAAGCAAACTCAGCAGTCATGCTTGCATTCTGCATGGTATGTCAAATCTAGTCCAGAGTTTTCTAGTATTGAGCCAATGTGGCTGAAAGTATGCACTCTCTCGAGGCGATGAGGTTGAAGTGTAAATACATACTCGTATATGTTATGTAGAAATACAGATCTATGAAATAAATAAATAAAATGGCCGCTCCTCTATTTGGTCACACATTATATACAAAGTAACTGCTGTGTAATCTCAATTTTGGAGCTTTCGTGACTGCAGGAATTATTCTTTGGTTCTTTCGGTTAAGTCACGTATAAATATAAAATAATAAATTAAATAATAGCATACTACGACGTTTCGATTGCAACACAAGCAACCATTATCAGGTATAAAAGAAATAGCAACAAAAATCTAACCAGAAAACTATAGACAGACACACAAGCAGACAGACATCACAAAGACAGGTCGTCGTCTTGCTTACCGTACCACGTCGTCGTCCATTCATTGATATGCTAATTTTTTCTCTGCCCCTCCCTCTCTCCGCCCCCGCCCCCTCTCTATATTTAAGGCCTCGTCACAGAAACGACCTCTCACTTTCTGCCGATACGTGTTCTCTCTCTGTGTGTCTTTCTGATGTCTGTCTGCTTGTGTGTCTGTCTATAGTTTTCTAGTTAGATTTTTGTTGCTATTTCTTTTATACCTGATGATGATTGCTTGTGTTGCAATCGAAACGTCGTAGTATGCTATTATTTAATTTATTATTTTATCTTTATACGTGACTTAACCGAAAGAACCAAAGAATAACTGCTGTGTACTTTAGTTTTTCCCCTGTCTTACGGCACACTGCAGAGTGTTGTGACCATTACACAATCTCACCTCTCTGGGTTGTCCACTTCCTCTGTTACAAAGTTCATATAAAACCTAAAAAAACACAAACACACACAGCAACGTCTGGGCAATGGTTGCAGTGTGGCACAGTGGTAAATCTTCGTGCCTCACCACAAAAACATGGCCTGGGTTAGATTACAGAATTGGGTGCCTTTCTGTGTATGTTCGACCCCCCCCCCCCCCCTCATTTGCATGGGATTCATCTGAGTTTGCGCCCGTAGCTTAAAAGAAACAATGCAACCTGTATTGGCCAAACATCCCAATGCTGAAACATAATCTGCAAATCACACAATTGGCATGACAGCGACATCACCCCTGATGCGAACAAATATTTTTGGCAGGACACTCGTGAAATAAAGTCTTGAGGCTTTCCTGGGTAAACAGGTAAGAAACTGTAGACTTTTAGCAGTTAGTGGACTCGAATTGTGTGGGGTGATTTGGACCTCTGGCGATGTTCATGCGTGAGCCTCACCAGCCAGAGTAGGCGTACATGCCAGAGTAAAACGCCAGTGGAAGCCCCATCAACCCCACCTCCTTTCCGACAAAGGAATCTTGGAAATGTTCTGTGTTGCCTGCAGAGGAAAATCACACATTCTGTTCAGATCTGCCCGATGGCACAAATGGTTGTGCTGTGTATTGTTGGGGGTGGGGTGCAGTGGTTGACGCTCCCAACAAATCTGAGTTTGATTCCTTGCCACGGACAAAGTCAGTGGAAAGCAAGCGGTGTCTAAATAATCCATTATCGGACTATTTTAGTTGACTGCCTTGTGTAAACGTGTAAACATCAGTCCTGCAGAGACTAAGGTAACCAGGAGGTTGGTTAACACCACACCACTGGTTAATTCAATTAACATGAAGGTACTGGTGTGAGTGCTAAGTACTGGAACTTGCTCTTGCAGTACCTGTATGTATGTGTGTAACTCGGGCCCACGATCTCGTTGTTATTTCGACGAGCACGGCACTAGCTGGCGCCAATATAAGCGCCACTTCTCACCGCAATGACCACACCTGTTATATATTTTGACTTAATTTCGTGACTGCAGGAATTCATATTCTTAATTCTTTCGGTAAAGTCACGTAAATATACATTTTTTTAAATTAAAACAAGCGCTTGCGTTGTGATTGAAACGTCGTGGTTTTTTGCTTTTATTTTAAAAATAAATAATTTATTTTATTTTATATCTTACGTGACTTACATATTGGCGACACATTGCTGGGGAATCTTAATTCTGTGTGTGTGGGACACAGAAACTTTCACTATGGTCACATTTATCCAGGTTTATTACCCCCCCCCCTCCCTTGAGGTAAATGAGTCAATGGTCCAATTTGTGTGGTCAGTATCAGCAGTATGGAGACAAAAGTCCATAATAACAGGTTTTTTGGGGGTTAGATTGCATAAATATATTAATGTGTCCTTAAACACGCCACTACCCGACACAGCCTATTAGGAAGGTTTGTCACGTAAAAAGAACGCGACATTTCGTTACTAGTACAGCACACCGGTGTGTTGGAGAGACAAAGGCCGTTGTGCCGGAAGACCACAAGTTCAAGCAAACACAGAAACGTGTACAAATAAAAGAAAAAAAACCCACGCCACTGAGCCTTTGTGTACGATACAAGAGAAAAGATCCCATCAGTAGTTCCTGGACAAATGCAATGGTGGGCTCGTGTTGTCCTCAGTAGGACTCGCCAACACAACACAAGGACTGTGCAGTCACCCACGATCACCGTGCATTTGCGTATGGGGGATGTATTATTTCGCGTGTGCGATTTTTTATTTTTTACAAATCTCGATAACTCGGGATGGGTGGGGAGCGGGGCGCGTCGAGGGGGTGGCCTGTATAAAACTAAAAACGTGGAAAATGCAAAACGCATGTAGCCTTGTCTCAAATGTAATTATTTACCTACTTTTTGCACGCTTGTGAAGACGCGCCGCCTTGTGATTGTATTCCTTCTTAAAGTAATCGGTTTACTTGCCATTATGTTTGTGGTCACGTGGACACACGAGGCAAAGATCACGTGTAACGCCTTTAACAGGCAGTTGGGGCAAGTGCTGTTAGCCAATAGCACACGAGAGGGTGGGTGGCCAACACCACGCCCGAACGCCTTTGTCTCCCGAGTGACAATGTTTACGCACCGCAGCAGGTAATAATTTAAGGCTGAGTCAACCTAGTGTAGGCTCAGGACTGGTTCATATAGCCGTCACTGGTATTGGCCTAACAGCTACACGACCGCTCCCCATGTGGGTACACAATGCAGCATGTCACTGACCGCCCAATGAGAGGGAATATTTTATTTATTGTTCAGCAAACACAGCAGGTGCTGGCTTCACGTGAGGTGCCTTCGAACAGCATCGCCAGGTTTTTTCCGTTGGTTATGCTTCCGAGCTTGAGAAACACGCATTAAGTTACATCACTTGTGTTCTTAATCGATAAAAGCAGTGCAATTAGCATTTTTTTCATTTCGCCTGCACACGAGATTTTTTATCTCGTGTGCATAAATTTAAAGGCGTAATCTGGCTCAGGAGGAATGGAAGAAGCTTGACGGGTTTTTTTTTCTACACCAAAGATTTCTTTAACTGAACAATTCTATTACTATACAAAGCACAACGTTGGCCAGATATAACAAAATATTGGAATATTGTTATGTCTGGAGTTCATCACCCAGTAACAGAGTACTCTATACTTGATAGAATTCAACACTCATCAATGCAGTCACTTGCTCGCCCAACGGTCCATCGGCTAGTCACCCTTTTATCAACTCTCTTTTGCCACTCTACACGACCATGACTCCGGTTCCCATGAACGTCACTCATTGATCGGTCTGCCCATGTTGAGGACTCAGTTGAACAGACCTCTTATGCCTCCTCCATATTATGTTCAACCGCCATATTTACAGAGACAAAAACCTTTTGTCTTTCCCACTTATTTCCTCACACTTGCTCCGTTTCGGAAATTCCATTTCATTCTCACTTTTACAAAGCTCTTATAACCTTGCTCAATTCAACAAACGTATTAACCTCTCATCTATGAAACAATGCATAATGTTTGTTTGTTGGTAGCCACTTGACATTTGGGGCCTTCGGGCCTGTACTCAGTGACCTCGATAACAAAAAAAGCGCATCAGCACAAACCCGCAAAGGCCACACATTTTAAATATTTTTGTTGAGCTAGTAATACATTATTTAGGATAACAACTGCAACAAAAACACACGAATGTGTATTTATTTTCTTTCTTTAAAAATGTGCTTTGATAATCCACAAATGGTAAATATTGAGCTTTAGGAACCCGAGCAGTCCTGTAGATTTCCACGGAATGATCACCACTGGGCAGAGCTGTTCAAACTTCAGCAGCCTACATTACATCAAAAGCCATGTTGTATGCACTCCTCAGCGCTCTCTGCGCAGCCTCCTGAGTCAGTCCGTTTATTGCACCAGGGGCATAAGAGGGCCGTGATGGGAAGTTAGCCAGAAAGATCATGTGGACAACCATGCCGGGCTACGAATGCGCGGTGCTTCTCAGTAAAATCGGTGCTCGATTTGGTATTTTTGTCGGCATACCTTTGGCTAAGTGTATGATGCCCGGTATGATTATGATTCCAACAGCAGCGAGCTTGGAGAATGTGAGAAAAGTCTGAAGTCTCGCTGTCCACGAGACGCTTGCGCTGTTTATGAACATCACCAGTGCTGGAGGGAGATAGAGATACTGTATAGAATATCACAATCCTTACATGCTGGTACAGGATAACTCATTTTATTGAATGTCACCAATGGCACGGATTCAATCATACACCAGGTTATCCGCGGTTTAACGCCACTTATCTGTGGGGAAAAGAGTTGCGGATAATCGCAGATATAACGAATACAAAGCCAATCCAAAAAAGCAGAATTGGAAATTCCAGATACCTGCGGATAATAGGAAGAATAGGGCCACAGGTTATAGTTTTTACGGATCCTACCGCTGATGCGGATAACAGGAGTCGTGGGTAATGAGTTGTCCTGTAGTTGCAAATTATCACTTTTATCTCATAAAGGATTTGAATGCTTGATTGAATGTTACCAATGCGACTTTAATATTATACATATTTAAGGAACGTTATGACATCAATCAGGATTAGAGTGCTGTGTTAAGTTGTACTAAAGTTGTACTTAACACATTTTAGTTTATTACCTTATATTTCAAAACATGTTTTTAGCTTTATTCTATACTACGTGACAAGCGAAGTGTACACTAACATTTATATCCTAAAAATGTTGCTTATATGCAAATACTGTATTTACAATTTAATGCAATGATTTGGTACTTACAGATAGCGAGGGCAGTGACAATTTTCACTGCTAACTGAGGGACGTGGCACTGAGGAAACATCGGTTGCAGAATATATTGCCCAAACGTGAGCGCTATTACAGCCGTTGCAGCCGGCCTGTGGAGACAGAAGAGGCAATTAAACACAAGTGAAGGACGCTGTTTCCACGTTTTACCACTGGGTTGGTTGATGAAGTGCACCTTTAGAAAAAAAACAATACCTTATGATGATGAGTTCGACCCACAATCTGACAAAAGCTGGCAGAGGTCCGAATGCTTCAAGGATGTAGGTGTAGTGGCCGCCAGACTTCTTGATGCAAGTCCCCAGTTCAGCGTACGACAATGCACCTACCCAATAGATACACATTTTAAGAAAGTCGCATTTGATTATAATCATGCACGAGGAACGTGAAATGCAACAAAAAAAATAACAACTGTACTTTTGCTTTAAACGAGATGATAAATCAAACAAAAAACAGCAACACTAAAACACACGATTGGATAAATCGTAACACTTACCAAAAAGTGACAGAACACCGCACGCTGCCCAGACAACCAGCGACATTCCCACACTGCCGGTGTTCGTCAGGATACCCTTGGGCGAGATGAAAATCCCACCGCCGATGATGGTACCCACGATGATGGAAATGCCACGCACGAGGGTGATCTTCTTCTTGAGGTGCACTCGGTCCGAGTCATCTTTCCCCAGAGGGTTTCCATCTTCCCCGTTCAACTCGGGGGGCGACTGCTCCAAAGCGTTCGTCAACTCCGGATTTCCACGTGCGTCGCGCCGCGAAAGCGGTCTACTTTTCATCGTTTGAAAGTCACCCGAGGCTATGCTGGGTGCCACCGTGTCAAGAAGAAGAAGCAGTAGTAGAGAGATAGACGCGTGTGTGTGTGTGTGAAATTAAACACGCGCGCGCGTGCGTCTGTGTGTGTGTGAAATTAAAAACGCGCCCTCTCTGCTACTTTTTAAAGTTATAAATGCAAGTGAAGACGCGAAGCGCCGGTGGAGTGTGACTTTTTTTTTCCGACTGACGGAGAAAGAAGCGACAGCCCTGTTATGAAACGTTGGCACCGTGACTCGACACGCTGGGCGTCTCTCTCGGTCTTCGGTGTGTCGAGAGAGCACTTTCTTATTGGTTGTGACGGAAAAAAAACGCCGCCGACAAAATAGCCGTGAGTCATCTTTTTGCACAGATTTATGCTGAGTAACCATTAGTCAACACGCGTAGTCCAGACAGGAAATCGTGTACTATCGTTAATGAGGAAACGTATAACATGACAACCCATCAACGTTGCGTGAATTTATACGTTAAATTATATCTATTTTGATGGGTAGGAGGGGGGGTTATTTTCTGTTGAACATCTAGTGGCTTCTAAACGGCTATTACGATTCATTATATACTAAATAAACGAGACGCAGTATAGTGTTGAGTACTTTGCAATGGGCTATAGAATATCTGTACAATATGCAGTTGTTGTGCTTTTAAATGAAGACATTTAAGAGTACTGAGGCTTAATTGTCAACTGAAGCCATGACGCAACTTGGGTGCACCGCTGATGCAATATTTTTTTTCCATTACACCACTTAAAAGAGTTGGGTGTACAACAAAATCAATACGTCAAGGGAGCCAGTTTCATTGGCCCTCGGGAACAAATTGTCAAATAGCTTAACACCGCAGCGTGCACATTACTGTACAACACAGTATCACCTCTCACACACACACAAGACTGCACAATTGACACGAACTACATTTTAATGTTACTGTCGTGGTCTACCTGGCCACCCGTCTTGATGTTACTGCAATGCTGCGTATGGAGGACATACAATTTAGAATTAAAGTTTTAAATGACTAGGAAACATCATAAGCCGTATTATCAAGTGAAATTCAAGATGCCACAATTTAAATCGAATGTTCACCACGCTCATAAAAAGGTACAGAAAACAATGGAATGTTTGTCGCTCTCTGTAATCTATCAATCTACATCACGTCATTATTTATTGTTAAACAGTAAAATGTAGTAGTAAGAATAATCCACTGTTGGATCGAGACCTCTCGACCATGCCGAGTTGGTCATGGGATGGTTGTTTAATCTTACTTCACCAAGCAAGTCAGTGCTCGTTAAAACGTGAAGCAGCTTTAATGACAACAGCGTAGTTAGAAATAAAAAGAAGTTTTCGAGATATCGAAATGAAAGAATAACATTTTCAACGAGCTGTGACAGAGAAAACCATTGTGTACAAAGGCATTGCCTGGATTATTATGATTTTATGCATTTGCCATCAGCAGCCCAAACACATATTATACTTGGCAGACGTGATGTTAGTCGTGCACATGTGACATGCGGAATTGTGTTTATTGTTGGTAAGGATGCTCGTCACAATCTGAAAGCAACTCGGATGCCACCACACATATTTTCCCAAAACGTTCAGAAAGAAGTCAACAAACACATACAGCAAACAATAATAGAGTTGGAAAGAAACAAAACTGCAAGCACACAAGGGATGTGACTGACTGCACATGTAAGAGGGTGGGCATGTTATGTAACGAAAAAGTGACATAATTGGAGAATAAAACAGAAAATAATAGATCACGACGTTTCGATCGCAACACAAGCAGTCGTCCTCAGGCGGAAAAATAATCCAGCAGTGGAACTGCTGAACCAGCGAGAGAGCTGTTACAACAAGAGGCTATTTATGTGGTGATGGGCAAGCAAGCGGGGTCTGAGCTGGAAAGGAATTCCAACCCCGGACGCAAGCACGTCAGTTGTGTTAATGGGGGAGATTAGGAAAAGAGAGATTAGGGAGAGAGGGATTAGCATGAAATGAGCTTCCATCGTCGGACCTGGATCTTGTGTTTGTTTAAGATTTTGGAAATATTTTTGGAAACACCTGCTATGTATGGCAAGGTGATGGTTTTGATTGGGTCCTCAGATGGTTGTCTCCCCATGGGGCTACAGCTTTGCGGATTGTGCAGTCTGAGTATCTATTCATCTTGAGGGCTTGGTGTACGTGCTATAGTTCACTGGCTAAGTGGCGCTGGTCAGAGATGCAGTGGGCCCTATGGTGTAGTGTTTTGATGAGGGAGTTCTTCTGGGCCGGATGGTGGTGGGAGTCAGGCTTTAGATAGGAATCCGTGTGGGTGGTTTTCCTGTAGACAGAATGAGTGTATGGAATTGACGTGGTTGAAAAATGGCTCAGTGCTGGCTGACCATGTGGCCAGATGACTAAAGTGTCATATACGTATCTCTTCCACAGGGAAGACGTAGGGTGGATGTCAGGATAGCATCTGTTTCAAAATTTTCCATGAAAACATTCGCTGCCACTGGTGATAAGGGAGAACACATAGGGGTACCTTAATAGTTTTCAACATTTTTTCAACCACATCAATTACATACACCCATTTCGTCTATAGGAAAACCACCCACACGGATTCCTATCTAAAGCCTGACTCCCACCACCATCCGGCCCAGAAGTAACTCCCTCATCAAAACACTACACGATAGGGCCCACTGCATCTCTGACCAGCGCCACCTAGCCAGTGAACTATAGCACGTACACCAAGCCCTCAAGATGAATGGATACTCAGACCGCACAATCCGCAAAGCTGTAGCCCCAACCATGGGGAGATAACCATCTGAGGACCCAATCAAAACCATCACCTTGCCATACATAGCAGGTGTTTCCAAAGAATTTCCAATAAAAAAACACAAGATCCAAGTCCGATTCAATACAGTACACGAAATCCGTGAATTTATCCCATCTGTAAAGGATGTCATTCCTGACAGGCAATACCCTGGTGTCTAAAAACTAAGTTGTGTCTGCGGCAGCAGTTACATTGGGGAAACGAAACGACATGTCTCGGACCGTGTTCGAGAACACAAAGCAGATTTGAAACACGGCAGAACCAATACCTCTGCAGTGGCTGATCATTGTTATAATGCAGTGGGCTCGCACGATATTGTTTTTTCCAAGACCAAGGTACTCTGCAAACCTTCGGGCTACTATCAAAGATTTGTCTATGAAGCCATCCAGATATATAAACATGGAGACAATTTCAACCGAAAAGATGGGTATAAGCTGAGCAATCATTGGAAGGACGTTATTAACCAAGCAAAGTCGTAACTTGCTGTGGTGCTTCCATTCTTCCCTGCCATTTGGCTATTATCTCCAACTCTCTGAGTTACATTGCCCTGTTAGGTACCTCTGCATTAACGAGCTGGGGTCTCACTAACATGGCCACCTCTGTTCCCTTAGCCTCGATGTACCGATGCTTCTGGCTGTGTGATGGGCTTTGTGTCTCACAGGTGCGACCACCATTGCAGTGGTTCTCTTGCTAGGACGCGCTTGCCTCACGGCGCAGTTGGCAGTGCCGCAGCTTGTGTTACACATATACATGACATTCACTTCCTAATCCCCCTAATCTCTCACATGAACATAGTGCTAATCTCCCATTAACACTGCTGTTGTGCGCATATGCGGGGATGATATTCTTACGTGGCGACGGAAGTTCATTTCATGCTAATCTCTCTCGCTAATCTCTCTTTCCCTAATCTCCCCCATTAACACAACTGACGTGCTTGTGTCTGGGGATGGAATTCCTTTCCAGCTCAAACCCCGCTTGCTTGCCCATCACTAGATAAATAACCGCTTGTTGTAACAGCGCTCTCGCTGGTTCAGCAGTTCCACTGCTGGATATTTTTTTCCGCCTGAGGACGACCGCTTGTGTTGCGATCGAAACTTCGTGATATATTATTTTTAGTTAAAATTTTCTACTTACGTGACTTTACCGAAAGAACCAAAGAGTATGGATTCCTGCAGTCACGAAAGCTTCAAATCAAGATAATTGGAGAAGCCAGGTTTTGGAAGCATCTGAAAGGTGCTCACTTCATTAACATACAAAGGGTACCCTGCTGGATTTAAGCATGGCTCCCCAGCCTCATCTGGACACCCACCATTTCTCACTGCAAATGATGACTCGGTTTGCTTTGACGTTCTCCCAGTTCAAGTTAATCTTGTTCAAAAGCAATCTGTTTCAACATCAATCATTCTTGTACTCATTAGGGTTCTTATGTTCTGGCTTGTAGTCAACCACGTTTGGAATCCGTCTAGTTTGTTTAAATGTGACCTCGTCATTTAACGTCAAACCTATGGAAGTGAAAAGCACACCTTGATATTCCCACTAAACAGGACATACACCGTTAAAGGGACACCATCTCAGATACATTATAAGGCTGGTTGTGCCCGTATTGTCAATAGTACAGGAGGCTTATCGAAACTGGCAAGGAGTAATACACGACCATTTTATAGTTTGCTTATTATAAATCAGGACAATGTATGGGTACAAATTAAGCTTTTGCACCAACTTTCTCGACCCTCACATCACAGCAGGTTCCTACATCCCCTGCCTCTGATGCCACCCTGCGATGTCCAGCTTCCATCACACCCATGGGGGTGTGCAAAAGTGCAAGTGTGTATCGTCGTAGCCGTACGTTCAATCCACTTCCCGAATTGTTGAAATCTTCAATCCGTTAACAATCGGCAAACTCTTGTACTCTGTTAAATATACACCTAATACGGCCCGCGATCCTAGTTCTCATCATGTGTCCGACCTTCACCCATTGGTACTCTTTGGATCCTACCTACTCCCGATTATATTTAGATGTCTGGTTGGATCCTGAAATATGTAACTCAAATGTGAGGCTTTTTGGAACTTTCCAGTATGTCAGTAATTGTTCATTTGGGAACCTACTCTCTCTCGATGGGACGGCAACTTGACGCGATTTTGCATATCCGATAGGCCCGGATTAACAAGCATACTTCACTCAAACGTTTCGTGAGCTTCAATCACGCTCCCGCCCGTGACCTTTATGCCTTGTTTTTATTGGTTGTGGGGGACTCCCTGACCCCTCATCTACACAACACCACAAACACCACATTCTGACAGACGCACATCATTCACCTCCACGCAGCGTCACATCCCCTATCATTTACACGCTTCCTTTCACACCATTCCTCATACCATCCTCGCTATCGCCCTCATCACCCTTTGCACATTTGTCCCGCTACACACACAGAAACCAGTTACAAGACAAGCGATTGAGGTCATGCAACCGTGCAGC